AAGTGTTTGCTGTTGTAAATGTACACGTCTAGGTCTCAATTAAAACTAATTATGTTAAAATATTAAAATACTACCCAGATTGTTAAACTTGGATTACTAATAAAGGAAAAAAACACAACTGCAAATATTCTTAGTTATTTTACAATTACAAAGTTCGAATAGTGCTTTGAATGAATACTGTCTAACTGGTAAATAAAAAAAAATCATCATGAAATCAATGAGCGTGTGCGTGAAACTGGTCACGTTTGATCAGATAAAACAAATTATAAGGAACTTGCTGGATCTGTACAAGAGGTGAATGCACCTGCGGTAGTAAAATAGCAATACAGTACCATAATAGTGGAGAAGAAGTACTACGTGCATAACAGAGTTGGGGTTTGCATGGAACAAAATGGAAGGCAATTTAAGCATTTGTAGAAGTCCATCATGTAGGCTATTAATGCTGATTCAAACAAATTATTCATTCAAAGAACTATTAGAGCCATGGAATTGTAGAATAACTAAGAATATTTGCAGTTGTGTTCTTTCCTTTATAAATCTTCCAGGATCAACAATCTGAGTACTATTTTATTTTTTTAGACAAGATTTGTTTTAATTGAGACCTAGAGGTGTACATTTGCAACAGTAAACACTTTGAATACCATTTAATAAAACATTAAAATACACTAATTTCGTTATATCTCTTTAACCAATGAAGATACCAAAAAACATGAAATACAAAAATTATAGCAAATTTTAAGGGCTACAATGTGGTTTGTAATTAAACCCATGTTGCCATTTGAAATTTTTGAGATAACAGCTTTTGAAACTTCAAAAAGTTTGAAAATGCGTAACATAAGTAAAAAGATAGCAAAAGGGTTGAAACCAGAGTTTTTTGAAAGCTCATTTAGCAATTAAAGTGTTATCAAAATTTGAACCCCCCACAAAATTCCACCTCTTTACAGTGAAAAGTAGTTCAAAAGTCTATTTTTTGTAAGTTTTTGAACACCCTGTAAATAAGGATGAAGATAATTTAAATCTTTTTCCACTAAAATACTCAGGACTAAAGGACCTTTAAAAAGAGGTATAACACGACCCCCCTTTACATTTGAAATTTTCCCAAAAACCACCCCCACCCCCAAAATCTGCCCTTTGGGGTGCTTTTTTGGGGTTGAAAATAATTTAGCTGAATTCCTTGGGGTCAAAATAGGGGGTTCCAGTTGCAATTAGGTTACCATTTGCTTTCATATTGGAGCTATACAAGCCGGCCGGGTGGTCTGAGACACCCTGTATAACTGGTTTTGGAAGAGTAATCATGTATGGTTTTATAACAGGTTTTGATTCTGTAGCTGAATTGGAAATAACAGCTTTTGGAAATTGACACACTTTTCAAATGCTTTTTAAATATATATTTAGCAGGTTTTGGAAGTAAATAACAACTGGAAATGATAGCAGGCATTCTGAAGTAGCCATAGCAACCAATATCTCAATTTCAAAAAATGTGACCGATAACAGGTTTTGGAAATCGGCTACTCTAGTGTTGTCACAGGTGGTTTGTTAAAATATTGCCAAAAAAGGTAGCAAATTTCCAGTTACAGTATGTACCTATTTATTTATAAAAAAAATTAAATAAAGTCAAATGAACGTATGTAATAAGCCTCATTTAAGAAGTCGTAATGTAATAAATTATTTGCCACGTGTTACGTGAATAATCCTCGCTTTCCACAACACTTTTACCAAAATGCACCTAACACTATATCAAGGACAAGCTGCAATATACACGGGCAACTATCAAGGGCTGCTTCCCTTTGAAGGGTTGTTGTGTAAAGCCAGAAATGAAATGGTAGGCTACTCAAGTCAATGAATGTCAAAGTAACATTCTACAGTCACTCACAGAATCTCTTCAGAATCCTCGGCAGTCTTACAAACTGTGACTTTCTGAATGTAACGTCAAACCTTCAAACTCTATCCTTGTGTTCAAGTTTTAACGATTTTGCAATTTGTAAATGGAAGTTTTTTTTAAAGGTTGGTTTTGTTTTCAAAAATAAGTTTACTCAACCATTTTTAACTTAAGATTTTTTATACAAGTTAACCAATTTCTTGAGTTTTTTTTTATTTATGTTAATTCTACTATGTTAATTTGTTGCTACTAAATAATATTGATCAATAAATTGTTTAGGAATAGACAATTTTATGAGTTAGGTATTTGTTCAGAGAAATACAAGTCCTGTCATGCCTAAATTTATAAAAAAAAACTTAAAGTATAAGCAAAATCGTTTTACTGCAACTGTTTTAACTTTAAAATAATTTAAAAGTTACAATGCTTTCAGAAATAAATAAAAGCAGAATTAATAATTGTTTAAAATCAAAGTTTCTATTAAGTCCATTCATGACTTCTTGTTTGGTTGAATGAATTAAAATTTATTCATTTCAACATTTTAGAAAATAGGCGGGAAAGGATTAAAACGAGCGCTGTATACATAAATTCTCTTTGTATCCAAATTGTGTATTGTTTCTAATAAATTAATAACTATTTGGAGTAACCTTGTTTATAAATAGGGAAACCCCTCTACATATGTATATATAATACCCCTTACATGCAACTAAAGTATTTAACATAACAAATTATCAAACATCTGGAAAGTCTAACCTTGTATGTCGTAGTGGATGAATTGCCACAAAACAAGATAACATATCGGGGCATTGAACAAACATCAAATGAAAGGACACAAAACAGGACTTCTTTTGTTGATATGTTTATTCGTGTTAGGTACATGGGGGAGTGATTGAAGGTAATACAATGTCGATGTAGGGGTGCAAATGTTGAGATATCTACAAATGAAAAGTCTGGAACGAGGGTTTCTAAAGCGGCCGTTCTAGTCACAATTTGTCAAAGCACAAAGCAAGAAGGCTGTTAGCCATTTCACCTGTAGAATTTGCTGTACTACGTTTGTCAAAAGTTGGAAAAAGTTACACATTTTCATCCATTTGATTGTTCAATGTAAATTGGTGCATTTGTAAAAGAAGTAATTGAGTGGTGGCTTTTATAAATAAATAATATCTCAACATGATATATCAAACCTTTATGAGTATATTATCCATTCTAAACATTGACCATGTAAACTAACTAGCTCCGTAGACCACACTCTGTCACGGCTTAATGCGATGAAAATGGTTTTCAAATTAAATTATTTTCTCTGATCCATACACTGATTGGCTCGTGAATAAGCTAATTAATTACAAACCCACACTGCGTCACATATTGTCAAGATTTTGTTTACACTCGATTATTTTGCGTTGTAATAAATATGTATTGTAACTTGGTAAAACTACACTATATAAATGACATGAATTGAACATTAATAATAGAAAATAGACTTGCATTACTGCATGCCATCTTGTTTTATAGTAGTTCTTAAATAAACCCGTACATTGTTGATTTTTCCAAGCTGCAGTTTATGTTTGCTCAGCCAAAATTTGGACAAAAGTAAAAAAAAAACACAATTATGTATAGGCTTTGAGACAGAATACTTTAGACGAAAAGACGATACTGTACTTTTTTCGCATTTTGCTTTTTCAAATAAGTTCAACATTTCACATTGGTCCCCTAATCCACATGGAAAAAAAATATATTTTTGAATTCTTATTGCAAACCTAAAGCTTATGTAAAACCATCAAATTAAGCAAAGTCTACGTAAATATTAGTACATTCGTTCAACTATTCAGATATAATGAACAGCGAAAGAGTGAATCATGCAGTAAATGAATAAGATATTGACGACTAACATTTGCCTACACAAGTATTTAGTTAATTGCTTAATATGAGTCATTGCATTGTTCTACTTAATAGACAGTACAATCAAAACAAACGTTCAACTGGTATAAAGTTTTACTACAACTTAGGTTGACATGCAGACTGCACAGTTAAGTTATGCTAGGACTTTGACGACCTCTCCAAGCATCGGACTATATACTGTAATGTTCTGCAATAGAATAGAAAGACAGAGGTACAATCTCGAGACGAGTAATTCAACCCTAAGAGATTGATTGAAACAGTACTGATCTGACAGAAATAAGAAATTGATACATTTGATCTCTCATTTTATACAGTTAAATTTCAAATCAAGAGAGAAAATAAGACGATATTTTAAAATCAATCATAAGATATTTCTGAGATTCAAACATTTCTGAATTATATTACTTCATAATATAAGTAATATTGTTTTACTTCATTTTTCACATAGGTGAACCATTAATTGATAAAGGTTACATTTACTATCTATTAAATTAATTGATAAGAATTAAAATATTTTCTGATTTGCGTTTTACAAATCGGTTTTGTTATATGGATATAAACATATACATACAGCGTAGATGTAGACACTGTATATTTTAAAAAGGGTTAGAACACCTGTTTAATTATACCTGTAAATTTGTCAAAAGCACTTTATTCCAAAAAGAACAATAATTAAATATCCTACAGAATTAGAAAAAGTGGATTAGGATACATTGCAGGATACTCTATTATGTATAGTGATAAAAAGGTAGATTGTAGTGTTTGCCAATGTATCAGAGGTTCGGGGATCACTCATGAGAACAGTCAGGAGCTTTCTATGGATCTAAGCTGGACCTAGCTTGATCATTAAGATTTAAATAAATGTCCCTAGCTAAATAACTTGCTGATCATAGTCAATAAACGGTCATCTCATTAATTGAACACTAAATTTCCACTCATCTCCACTTTAAAATATACATCCTGATGTGATAGCATAATATTCTAGTAAAAATATAAATTGAGAGTGATACCCCACCATAACACCCCTATAAACACAACAACGGGGTCATCTGTGGCATTTTTGATACAATAAACCTACAGTTCACCTACATATGTTTCTTATTCTGTGGGGGAACAGAGAATTCATTACAAATGGGAATAATGACAAAACTTATCACATCAAAAGTGGTCAATCTGAAGATATAAGATACTGACAATATTTTGTATGAAAACCAAAATAACTTACAAGAGCGGTATCTGAGCCTCCTACGACAGTGATCCCCAAACTCGGGGAAATTCGGGGAATCTCAATGTGGCTCACTTCTCCCTCCAGTACTGGCAGTCTGGTAATACCTTGAAAACACAAGGGGTAGGTTAGACAGTGACAGGCTTTACCAGGTTAGCTCGCCTCCAAAACCAAGACGAAGCAGCGCTAAGGGTAGAGAGGTTGTTTTGGATTTAAAATGAGAAGACCAATGTTTCCGCAAACAGCTGGATTTATTTACATTTTATACATTGAAAAAGACTAACATCAACATGTAACATGACTAACATGTAAAAAGATACAGACCGCTTGATCGTAGATATTTTAGGTTGGTAACTGATTCTACACCACTTGCTTGGAAGTAATAATGTTTCAACTTAAATGAACATGCTAACTATATCAACGATTATCAGTAAACATGCTTTCAGTCAAGAGCAAACATTTAATTCTGCCTTCACAAGAAATAATATTGTGAAAATGAGTAGAATTAGGTAAAACTGAAAGATATAACAAGTAGGAATAGGTGCAGAAGTTCAATGAACCGTATTTGTATCAAAATAATTATACATTTAAAACTTTAAGATGTATGCAAATATCTTTGAATAAAAATTAAGTTGTACTAATTAAACCATAACAATATAAATATAGGTAGCCAAAAATAAATTTACAATAGTATTTATGTACTTATATTCCAAAAGTATACCTGAACACTGTAAAATTGTATAAAGTTTTTTGTAAAGTGGAAACAGCTAGGAATAAATAATAATAGACTAAGGCCATAAGACTAGGCCTATATAACACGATTGAGATAAAGTATTTGCTTTGTTAGTTTAAAGCAATAACATTGGCAAGTATAACAATTTTTTCAGTCACAGTGTTACTGACCCGGTGCCTCCACCATGCGAGTCCCATGCCTCTCAAAGTCTCTTAAAGTTAAACTCGCTTTTGTAGAGAGGTGAAAAGGTTGAAAGAGATATAAAACTGCTACAGGCGTGACTCAACTTGTAATAAAAAAATAAATTTAGAAAACAAAGAAGTTACAAAGGGGGACAACACCAAATAAGAACTTTGAAAAAAAAGAGCAAAAATAGTAAGAAAAATATTTACAACATTAATTTACAAGAAGAGAAAATGGAAAAAATTAAAAGAATGAGTTAATAAGAAATTAAATGACTTGTTTTACATATTTATAATTTTAGTTACATTTTTTTACATAGTGTACTACCAATTGTCCCTGAATCACATGCACCTACGACACAGGCACTTTGTTCCAGCCCGCAGCAATCTCCTTGATTTTTCCTCCTAGGTCCTCCAACACCAAGACTCGTCACACCTCCTCCATCTTCTTCATTAGACCTACTTATTGTCTGATTACCGATAGGGTGTGTGGCTTGTAGGTTAAAGTTGTTTCTCAAAAGTCAGCCCTACCGGTCATCGCCTAGCTCACGTCAGCTTGGAAAGGAATTTGAAAATCGATGCTCATGCTACTGTTCAACTCTGTCCAAACTAACTGGTCGACTAAGTGTAATGTTAACAGAGTGTCTGCATAGATGATCACCAAGGGTACGGGGTTAATCCACTTTCTTACACTCTATAAGAAAATATAATTTGTTTTAATGTATATTTACAAAATATTGTTTCATTATTCACAGTTTATAGAAAAACGTATGTTTATTGTTTATTGCATAAAAAATACGAATAAAAATATTTTATTGATAACAAACAATAACTAGTAAATAAATATACATTTTATATTAAACAATTTTATATTTCATTGTATAATAATAATTATAATAAAAATAATATAAGTAATACAAATAAATATATTCTATTCATTCTGAAAGCCTGGACTACATATATTATGACTTTTTAGGCTGAATTGAAATTCTGCAACCGTTTTCCATTTGAAATATGGAATAATATGCTTACTAATGTAAGACCAATCCCCGGGGGAGCGAGTTGGTCTAGTGGTTAGAGCGCGGGACTTCGATTCCAGAGGTCCCGGGTTCAAATCCCGCCACATCACCAATGGATTTTATCGATGTGATAATGCAGCAACCCCTAGGTCTAGCCTGAAGTAATGTGAAAAACGATTCCGGGCTCGTGCCTAGCATCTTAGGACAAAAATGTACAACAAAAATATTTGTTTGTAATATGAAGAACTTTATTTAGATATTTTAAATTCCACTTTCATTGGATTTTTTTAAATCTGGTGCACTCTTTAAGAGTATTTGTGGTTGATAAACATTCACCATAATGGTGACATGAAAAGTTGTACAGTTATAATTTTGAAAGTGATAAACAAATTATAAAAATCCAGTTATAAAATAGTGAAATACAATGCATTGATAAATTCCAACAAACATATATTAAACACAAACGATACATTTTTAAACTCATCGACTGAGTAAAAAAATTGTGGATATTTCCATTTTGTTACATTGCAGTAAAACATCACAAATTTAAAATACAAATGTCACAGGTAAAGTTAGGTGACCGAATAACCTATACTTCATTCGATAATTGAACGTTGCAGAAAACTGTTGTGTGAAATAGAAACGACTTCAATGGAGTTGTGATACAATAGCTTACTAAAACTGTGACTGAACACAATTGCCTCTGCGTTAGCCACTGTACAAAGGTAGCGGGAGAACCAAGAGTAGGGTAATTTTGGTATTTTATAAAACAATGTTTCGTTGCAACTGCTGCAAAGACGGCTGTTTAACAGGTGTTGCAGGGCTGAAGTACTTCTTTTCACCCAAGGCATAAAAGGTCTCAAAATTCGTCCACCGATTTTGATGAATAAATAGTTCCGATTAACAAAAATTGTATCGTGTATTTATAAAATTTTTCTGCGTTCATCATCGGTTGTATATTTAACTAAACTATACACCGCTTTAACAGCATATAGACTAATGGGTATACAACGATTTCCAGTATTGGTATTCTATTTGTTGTATTCCCAACCCCCGCCCATTTTCAGTTTAGGCCATGGCGATTAGAGATATGTAAAACATGAACATCTGATTATGAAGTTTCACATGTGCGTTCTGTCAAGTCATTCACGGGAATTTACACGGGTTTGATGAACTGCTTTAAATAGGAAATAATCAGTATTTACGTAACATTATGTTCACTCGAGCCAGCCATAAGGGGTTTTAAACAATTATTACAAGAGTATTTCAACTATTAAATATCTAAACACTGCGAAGAAAGTCTACAAGTGGAGCAAAATCATTACAGATTTTCCAATGTGTTTAAAAGGAGAAAGGTTTTTATAATCTTAAAATTCTTGGAACTTGTAGTACTCTGTAAATGTATATGAACATTTTTGAAAAAGAGTTGAAAAGTAAATCAAATAAACAATTAGCAATTCATATTAACTGTAGTAAAGAATGAAGTAAATTAAACGGATATACCAAGATGTGCTTGTTCTGACAGATTTTAATTTGGGTTGTGTAAAAAAAACACCCTGTATAAAAATACTACTAACATTTCAATATCGTTCATAGGTCAACAGTTGATTATGTACTGTTGTGTACCCATAATTTAAACAGACTGTTTGTTGTTTATTTATTGTTTCAATCTTAATTCACAAGACTATCTGGTTAGAATATATTTGGCATATATTAAGTGCATTTCGCTTTAAAATTATCCTTCTACAATAACTATTTGTTCCAAGGGCAAATGTTACGTAAATCCTATGTAAATGAAATAAATTAAGAGAATGTTTTTTTAATTACAAGAGAAGAAAGGTTTGAACACACAAGCCTACTTTGTTTCGTTCAGGGTTGGTAACTTCTTGCTCTAATTCTCACTGAAGTGCGGCGCTTGCTTTTATTTATGCTTCAAGTTTCATTCTCTCCTCAGGGATACAATTATACAACTTAAAGGCCGAAGTTATTCCATTAAGCCGTGATAGATTTGGAAAGTTATCCGGCACAATACGTAATTAAAGCCTATTTATACCATTGCCCTCACAGGATCGCTAACTTTAGAATATTGACTTAGTTCTTCTAAGTAATAAACTACAATGTGCAAAGAAAATAATGTGGCTGACATGTATGACAGAACTGCTAGACTGGTTGGTAAGTAATTAGTTGATGAACAATGGACAATGAATCAACAATTATTATTACTATCACCATTTTTACAAGGAAAGACCCGAACCTCTTATTTAAGGATAATTACAGTAAAAGTAATTAAGGATTAACTCCATACGTTATTAGCCCTGAGAAACTAAATACTGTAGTAGGTATTGTAAAACATGTATGTATCATCTCATTTAAGATGGCTGTATTTATTGTAAGAATTAGTCACAAATAGTGTCTACTAAAGTCATTGAATTTCCAAATGTTTCTATTTGTATTTGTACACTATTAACTCCACAGACTCCTTTTATGGACGGGTTTATAGTGGACTCAGTTTACGCATTGGTCATTGATTTAGTTTCGGTAATTATGTTATATTTGTAATCAAGACTAGTTAAAAGTTGGTATTTCAAAATTTACCCAAAGTAAAAAAGTCAGAAACACGATGGATGATGTTGTATACAAGTTTTAACGTCTGATTATGTTGCTGGGGTAATAATGTAGGGAGTTATTTCTCAGTCGTATTTTTTATTATTTTTACTGTAAGTAGTTTGAAAGGGGTGAAACCAATAATTATAGTAATAGATAAAAATCTCCCAAAAGTCAAAACAGGTTTTCTCATGGCAGAGCTTAAGTCCTAAAAGTCAGGCATCTACACTTGCGCCTTAGAAGCCATAACGTTAGTCTTAAAGAAGGAATTTCTTATATAAGGAAGGAATAACTACATAGGGAATTCTTCGTAGCCATTTGGGGCGCAACAACGATTCAATATACTAATTTATAGTTTTGTTTTACCTCTACAAATTGGTTTGGAAAGAAACTGCAAAATTGTATGTATTGAAGATCAACACGGGAAAACCCAATTTATACGCCATGAAACCCCGTTCCCATAGTCCCTCATGCTGGTTCGCGAATTCTTGCTAAGTGTCCTTCGACCTATCCCACCAGATACTTATGTATATATGAAACTGAACGGGTGTTTTTGGCCACTGGAGATA